ACTGGAAGCCTTCCCATCTATGTAGCTGGTAAAGTATTTAAAGCAGAAAGGGCCAGAATGGCATAAGATGGAGCTTAATCCCTATAGCATTTCTTTTTCTGCCCTTGCCCCTTGAACTTTGAAGTCTTGCTCAAATATCCTAACAATCCGTTCTCTGAGCTGCTAGTAAGCCAGTCCCTGGCAGAGGTAACTGGTAGTCACTGAATCTGTGGCTCACAATTGAGAATTGGTCATGGGTGAAGTAGCTGAAACATGAATAGAATGTCTAGTATGTAACACCTGAAAATCTGGATTCTTATTCTTAGTTCTTCATTTCTGTCACATACACTTAATTGGATCACATCTAAATATATTAACCTTTTCCTACATGGATCTTCTATTTAGTTAGTAACAAATTTTCTTAGTATTTAGTCTTGGGTTTTTTCTTGTAAAATTTCTCTGCATTCCTGAGACAGTGTACTGCATATAAAGTATTGTAGTTAACTAGTAATCTGTACTATTCCTTTTGAAATAATCTAGTTTCATTTTATGGAACTTCTACTGAGGCTGCCACAGGCTTTGCATGACACAGGTGACTGTGATGTGTACAGAGCAAGGCTACTTTGTTCAGTGTATATTTTAAATATTTATCAATCTTCATTTCTTACTCATTTTATATAAGAGAATGTTAGATTTTATGTTTGTTTATTGTTGCATTTCCCTAGTGGGGAATTCTTCTTTGTTCCTCTGTGTTCCATTAGAGACCTCTTTTTCAATTTAGAGGGTAAAAGGATTCAAAAACTGGTGTGTAAGACTTTCTGAGTCTCCTACCGTACAATTTTACCTAAGACAATCCCTATTTAGGATGCTTTATTTGCCATTAAACCTTCCTTCTTATGTCTCAAGGATCCTTTCTCAAGTAGAACAAAGTGTAACTGTATAGGTCACAATTATTTTGACATCTTAAAAATTAATTTTTCTGCCGGACTTGGTGGCTCAGCCTGTAATCCCGCGCCTTTGGGAGGCTGAGGTGAGTGGATTGCCTGAGCCCACGGGTTCGAGACCTGACTGGGCAGCGAGACCTCATCTCTACAATAAATAAATTTAAAAAATCAGCTGGGAGCGGCTACTGCACTCCAGTCTGGGTGACAGAGTGAGACTCCAACTCAAAAAAAAAAAACCAAAAACTATTTTTTTTTTTTAGACAGAGTCTCACTCTGTTGCCCAGGTTGGAGTGCAGTGGCACACTCACAGCCACTGCAGCCTCTACATACTGGGCTCAGGCGATCCTTCTGACTCAGTCTTCCAAGTAGCTAGAACCACAAGCACGCACCACCATGCCTGACTAATTTTTTGATTTATTTTAGAGATGAGGTCTTGCCAAGTTTTCCAGGCTAGTCTCAAAAGTATTAGAAACATTGAAAAAAAAATGTGGTTATTATAAAAGTAAGCCTTTGGGTGATTCAGAAATGGTGGGAGTTTGGGGGGTTTTGCCTTTTTATTAGTTTTCTGGGTTTCAAAATGGTTTCTAATAAAGTTTCAGTAGACATTGCTTTCTCTTTTTGATTCAAATAAAAAAGCAAAGAAAGGTATCTGAACTAATTGTGTTTTCAATGTAAGTTTCAACATTCAGTTCACTGAATGTTCAGTCAGTGAACTGAGTGTTCAGTTCATAGAGAGTACATGAACTTTAGTACTGCTGATGTGTTAAGGTATTTGAGATTCTTACAACCAAGTGAGGGCTGAGTAGTTTTTAGATTCTGTTGGAACCTCTTCAGAATACTGATACATTGTAATCAAAATATCTATTGGTTTTATTTACATTGTTGCTACCAACTTTTCCTATGTATTTCATTTTACCCTGTTAACTTTGAGTTTAATAATATATCAACAAAATAATTACCTTTTATCATTGCATGTCCTTTTTTGCTGAATAATAAAATGCTTTATAGGGCCAGGCTCAGTGGCTCATGCCTGTAATTTCAACACTTTGGAAGGCCGAGGTGGAGAATTGTTTGAGCCCAGGAGTTGGAGACTAGCCTGGGAAACATAGTGAGACTTTGTGTTTACTAAAAGTGAAAATAAAAATAAATTAGCCAAGTGCCTATAGTCCCTACTACTCAGGAGACTGAGATGGAAGGGTCTCCTGAGCTTAGGTGTCTGAGGCTGTGGTAAACTGTGATTGTGCCACTACAATACGGCCTGAGTGGCAGAGTAAGACCTCTAATCAAAAAAAAAAAAAAAAAAAA